GAACCTGTTTGCACCCCCCCCCCCCACCCCCACCCCCCACAAAAGATCCCACCCACCCCACACCCACACCCACAAAAAAAATCCTAATGAAAGGCATGAGCAAATACTATGTTACAAGACAAAAATGCCAAACTCTTTGTCTTGAGGTGCTGCCAGTTGTTGCCTCTTTCAATTGTTTATATACTTATTTATTGTTATCTGCACCATTAAACGCGGAGCTCGTCCTTTGGTGTTTATTATCAAAGCAGCAATTGTTTTTGTTAAACATCGAGGATTTTATTCTATCTTGACGCTTAAACAACTATTTCTGAAGGGCATCTAAAGCTCTGACCATTGATTCCAGGCAATGTAAATCGTCTATAAGAATTGATAACAAGAAAATAAAAATCCAGATACCATGAAATTCATAAAATCAACTCTAATACTAGTAAATTACTCATTGACCAGCCCTAAAATTCATGAAAAACTCAAGCTTTATACCTTCTATAATACACTGGTACACGCGAAAACATATATATATAAATATATTTAGAGAGAGAGAGACCTGAGCAGCCTTTAAAGAAGACCCAGAATGAAACACCCTTTTCACAACTGAAATTACAGCGTTTTTGGGCAATAGCTGAAGGTGAAGTCTCATGCTTTGCTCCCAATGGCGACGATGAAATTGTGTGCGAACATCTATGAGGTTAAATGATGCTCTTAGTCCGTGTCTTATTATCCTAGTAACAAATTGGTTCTCAACCTTTAAAAATGTTCATCGTCATGCCAAACACGACTTCTAATAATCTAATAAATGGCTAAAGGTTGAATTGGATCGAAATTGGGGACCACCTCTTTTCACCACTATTCCATGGGCTTTGTGAATTGTGAGCCCGCTCTATTTTATTCAGGAAAATTTCATATCTAAATATTTAACTATGACCAATTTCAAAATTAAGAAATAAGATTTAAAATTTTAAAAATTAGATGTTATTGAATTATATTTATGAAATAATTAATTAAATATGTTGAGGTCATTATTTTATACAATTTAGGCCCTGTTTGGTACACATTATTTTTTTCATTCTCATTCTTCTACTCATTTTCAATCACGCATTCTTCAATAAAATAATATTTTCTATCACATCAATATTTTTTCCTTCATTTTTAACCACATATTCTCCATCAATCTACTATTCAATAATACATTCTTTCAAAAGAATATGTCCCATTAATCACAAATTATCGAATTAGTTGATTAGAAATTATTTCTTGATAAAAAAATCAAAAGAAAATTTTAGGTCACAAATAAAAAATTTTATAAGTCACAATTCATTTATCGATCACAAATCACAAATTTTATAAGTCGTAACTTATTTAACAATCGCAAATTATCAAATTAATTGTGGTTCACCACCAATTGTTCAAATTAATTGTTCACAAGTTATTTCTCAATCACAACTTAATAAATTGCGAGTCACAATTACATTTTTAGGTCATATATTATTTATTTCGTCACAAATTAATCAATTTATTAATCACAATCAACCAATTTATTTGTCACAAACACTCTTCGTTCCACTCATCACCACCAAGACCACATGCACCATAATTGTTTGCGACCACCACCCCATCACCACCAACAACGCCAGATCCAGCTGCACCATCGACAACAAGCAAATACCCCAAAAAGCACCTCCACCACCAAACGCGAAACCACCGATCCATAATCAAAAGTAAAACAATTGGTGGTGAACCACAAAAGTAACCGAATCAATGTAAAATCACAAATCCAAAACCGTCACTGCCGTCATTGCCAACCAACAATCACCAACAAAAAAAACCCTTAAACCTTGAGCAGATAAGAGAATGAAGAAACCACCCTCCAAACCCTAAAAATACCCCGAAAACAATGCCTCAGCTCTCCACTCATCGTCGAAAGCCACTGTCGTGCACGTCGCCTCTCTGTATAGAGCACGATGTTGTGTAAGAAGCGACTCCTTGCGTGCAGTTGTTGTGTGTTATCGAAGCATGATTGAGCGACTGAATTGTACATAGAGTGGAAAGAGCGGTTGCGCGTAGCTTTTGTGTGTTGCTAGAGAGCGGCAGTGTTTTACATAGTTGGATGGCGACTGAGAGTTAAGATGGAGATAAGGGAGAAGATAGATAGGAGGAAGAGATGAAAATATTTTAGGATTTGAAATTGGTTGGGTGAGGATTTTGGTAGGTGATGGGTTTGTAGATTTATTTAATTTTATAATATTAAAAAGTTTAAATTATTATCTGATTTTTTAACAATAAATTTCAAATCTGATTTTTGAATTAGTCATATAAAACTTTGAGCAGGTGTAATTTCCACTTTTATTTAGGTTTGGCAAAAATAACTCGTTAAATTCAATACTCAAGGGGCCAATCTCGAACGGAGCAAAAATTACCTGCTTAATTAAGTATTTAGGACGGTGGACTTCGCGGCTTCGCCTCGAGCTGGGATAGGATGAAGTTGGGTAACAAAGTCTCCACCCCGCCTTGTCTACACTACACATAACAATTTGTAATGTGTAAATGAAATAGTGTCTAGGCCAGGGCTCAAACCCACAATTTGAACCAAAATGATCCCTTTCCAGCAATGCCGAAACCTTAGGATGTACCCACCAATTAGATTTCAGATTGTAAAATTAGGCATGAGGGTTTGAAAGATCTTTTTCAATTTCAACGGAACCGGCCAAGTCTTCCATAGTTCCTTGTTGTCATCTCTACATCTCTCGTCGTCGAAGTTCTTGTTCACCATCTCCCTCGCCATCTCTATTCTCTCACTTCCTCTCAAGTCTCAAGCTGAAGGATCTAAGGTAACTTGACAATTTGTCGAACCCTTCATCTTTTTCCAATCTCGATGTTATTTGCTCTTGGTTTGAATGTTGCTACACTAAATGTTTTCTAGTGTGGTGAGACTAAAATTTGATGGAATTATATGGAATTATTACAAGTAAATGAAAAATGACATGGTAAATGGAATGGAATGATTTGGGCTTACGAATTGATTGGGATGATTTTGGCTTACGAATCGATAATCATAATGAAATTATTTGGGCTTAAGAACTGAATGGTTAATGGAATTTGAATCATGCACCCGTCCTTTAATGCTTGGTGGTTGACTTTTTTTAAAAATAATGACACTTTTTAGCTTTCTTCAGGATT